ATAAGTGGGAAATATAAATTATTATTTATATTATGATATCACCCTATTTTGAGGGTCTTGGAAATTAAAACGTTGATTATACTTAGTATAGTTGCTATCGTACTTGTCAAATATTTCCAAGTACTGACCTTCCCTTCACGGGGGGGGGGGGGGGGGGGGGGGGGGGGGCACCTCACAGTTTCAGGTAGAACTTGAAGTTGCTACCATTGTCCGTTGCTTCGGGAGGCTCAAGGGAGGAAGACGTGGTTCGTGCTTCTTCCGTTCTGTTTTAAAACAATTAAGTTAATGCTCATGGATACTAGTTTCTGAATAATTAGTTTGGGGGCTTGTATGCCTAGTTATGCCAAGTGTGGCTTGAACAATTGTATTAATGCTTCCGCTATTTTAATTGCATGTTTTACATTATGTTTGTTTATGGATGTACTATGTGTGAATGATATTCATGACGCCTTGTATAGTATGGATGAGTTGAACTGCGGTTGACTATTCGTACTGTACGGTGGGTTGTTGACGTGTCCGGCTAGGTCCGGGGCGTGACAACTGCTACCAACAGGCTTCTAGCCGAAGGCACCGTCTAACTACTCGGCAAGGGCATAGGGCTACACTACAGCTCGAAGGCTCAGTGTTACCGAGGGCCTAGGGTGTTATTTCACTTGAGAAAATTTCTAAGTCTAATTCATTTTAGCCCTCGGTAACGTCATGGAAAGAAACGAGGGCATACGTCCAACGAAATGGACCGAAGGCATAACAACTGTTTTCACTTAGGAAAATTTTCTAAGTCCACAACCGCAAGCCCCCAGTGATCCTACACTACAGCCGAAGGCTTGTTGCCAAGTTTCACTTATAAAATTTTCTAAGTCCACAAACTCTTAGACTTCGAGCAAACATGTGAAAGACATCGAAACATACATCCATACACAAAGGCTAAGATACGAGGACATACGTTCAAATTCAAAAGGAAGAGGACATGTATAGACGAAGGCATTCATTCAAATCCAAAAGACATCCATTCATCAGCAAAAATATTTCAAAGTACGATGGATGTTTAGTTTACAGTACATGGCCGAAGCCGAAACCTACAAACTATTACAAATGTTTATACTTAGAAGAAATTCTAAGTTTGTGCTTCTTTGGCTGCATCTCCCTTCGGCTTGGAGGAAGCATCACCCTCGGCATCTTCATCCTCATCATCATCACATCTGGCCAGCTCAGAGTCTTCGAGCAGCACCCTCTCTTGGCCCTCGGGAAGAGGAGCCCTAACATCCGGCTGGAGGGGAGGGAGACCGTAGGCGCCAGGCTGGAAGTCTTTCAGGTCCGAGCCAAAGTTCCAGGCCAGCTTCTGGTAGATGTTAGTTTGGGTGAAATACTCACCACCCTCATAAAAGCTCTTACCCTTTCAGGCGAGCCACATGGCGTCGGGACCTGCAACCCATGGGTCCACTGACTGCTCAACCACCGAGGCCACCCAATCTTTGTGCCCCTCGGATCTCCAACCATCAGCAAGGAAGGCGGCCACTGCATCTTTCTCAGCCTTGGCAACGGCATCAGCTTTAGCTTTTGCAGCCTCATCACCCGCAGCTTGGATGGTGGCAGCAGCAGCCTTCAGACCCTCACCCTTCCCCAAGGCTCGGGCGTCATCCACCTTCTTCTGAACGGACTCCTTTTCGACCCGGAGGGCGCTCTCGGTATCATGCAGCCTCTGCCGAAGGCTTGCATTATCCTCCTCCAGCTTCTTCTGGGCCTCCTCGGATTGCGCCCTTTGAAGATTCGATTGTTCCATCCTATGGAGAAGATCATTGAGGCTAATGCAAGCCTGCAAGGCAAACAACCCACGGCGAGAGTTAAGTTACAGGGCAAAATATACTAGGACCAAGGATTAAGGAGAAGGAAGAATGGAGAACTCACTGTGACAGAAGCTTGGAGGACCTTTGAGCCGAGGGCATCGTCCTTTTGCCGAGAGAGCACTGACTTGTCCGTCGGCGGAGTGGCGCCCCTCAGGTACTCCCTCGGGTCTAGCGTGCCATGCATAATGGCACTCCCCTTCTTCACGGAGAAATTCACGTTCTCCAGAGGCTAGGACACTGCGGCCCCCTGACCCGGGGCCTCAGAGGAAGAATGCTCCTCCACAATTACGACGGGGGCTTCTTTTTGGTTAACGGCCCCCTTCAGCTTCTTCTTTTCGGGAGGCTTAATGCCCTTCACGACATTCTTTCTCTTGAGCTCATCAGCTTTGGAGCCTCCGGTCTCTTCAGCGCCGGCATCAACCTTCTTGGAAGGATCCTCCTCCACTTCGTCCTTCTTGAAGAAGGAGTCTACGGGCTTCTGGGTCGAAGGCCCCTCCTTCTTCCTCTTCTCCTCCTTCGCCAACTGTTTGGACAGCTTAGCAAATGCCCTCGGGTCCATAATGTCACCTGCAAAGGACAAGGAAATATTAGAATCAAAGCAAATCAAAGCCAAGAAAATTCTAAGTACTAAGGAAGAGATCCCTCGGCAACAACCTCCGGCATTCTGGTAACCTCGGTCCGCCGGGGGATACTTCTCACCCTTCTCCCCCTCCAGCCGGAACCGCCAGAAGGCCAATCCATAAAGATCATCTGGGTGGGTTGCAGCCTTGATTGTTATTAGCTGATCAGAGCCTTCGGGCTTAGCCGTAAGCTTCTTCCCTTCCTTCTCCAAAGCAGCGCTCCCCACTTTTAGATGCCTCCGGAAATGATTACGGAGCGGCCTCGGGAAATCATTATCTGGCGCCCTGATATAACAGAACCGGTCCCTCCACAGCTTATGGGTGAGGGCACCTCCGAAAATAGCCTCCACGCTGGCACCTGCTGGAGGTTGGCGAAGCCCTCACTATTAGCAGCTCCCCCTTGACAGAGGTTAAAGGACATGAAAAACTGGTCCAAGGAGGGCATAACCCCCCGGCTCCGGCCCAACGATAGGAATCCGGAGATGTAAGAATGACTGTTGGGAGTCAATTGTCAGGGAGCCAGCCCCAGGAACTTGAGATACTCCAACAAGAACGGGTGGAGCGGAAACCGGAGGCCTAGCTCCACAGAGAGCACGTGCACTGCAAAACAACCCTCGGGGGGGCTGGACAATAAGTCTTCCGGGCCCGGCTCCACCACTTGAACCGAAGGCCCCACCAGGAACTGCGTAGCCTGGCAATCAGAAGGCGTGGTCGTTGTATTCAAATCAAGGGCGGCATTGTTGAGGTAGGAGTGACCTTCGGGGATCCCCACCGGCTGCCCCGCATCGACGGTAGCCTTCTTTCTCTTGGAAGGGCCCTCTGCTGTCGGCTTCCTTTTCTTCTTCCCCGCGGTATTTATAGGCTCCCAGCCTCGAAATACGGGCCTCGATTTGAAAAACCCATCATTACAAACCGCCACTTCACCCAATGGGTGGCACCCGCCCGCCTTCGGCCAAGAGGTGCATGCCACGTGGATCATACCTCCAACGACTCTATTACAACGGCTATATCCCAGGAACACCGGAGTGTCCCCAGATGATAGCCTCCGGCTAACATCCCCAGCATCCTTCGGTGAACCTACTGTCACCAAGTGCCTTCGGCCTATCAATGTTGTCACCCCTCGGTAGCTCATCAACACATCAAAACTCCTTCAGCCCGAACTAGCCTTCGGCCTAAAGGAGTGAGGTACTGGGAGAACCCCTTGGGGAAACTATGAACAATGCTTACATTTACAAAACCAACACACATAGCCTAAGGGCAAATAACTACAAAACTCCCTCGGGTGCATTCTATCACAACACCCTCCGAAAAACACAAAAATGTCAAAATTTTGCTAAAATCACTTGCAAGTTACAACACATACAGGCACCACAACTACATTTCCCTCAGAAAGCCCTCGGCATGTGGGGGACTGAGGGAAGCCTTCGGCGAACAACAAAAGGCAAGTGGTCAGTCAAAGGCACCCAACAGCAGAGGATCACCACAATTACTCATTTTCCCTCAAGTACCTTTCGGCAAAAGGAGTGAGGGACTCCTAATGGAGTATATGGCCCAGGAACCCCCTGCCCACAGACTCCTACTACTCTATCACAGGCCCAAGAAGCGCAGGAGGCCCAAGATGCTGAGATGTTGCGGCCCAAGCTCTAGGAGAACCGCAGTGCACATACAGGTAGCCTTCGGCACTATGGCCGAAGGCTCCAAAACTCAGAGAACAGCCATATTCGAGCATACGAAGCTATTGGGAGAAAATGACAAAAAACGGGAGCCCTCGACATTAGAGAAGCCTTTGGCTGAACCAAGCCCGCGGCTATACAGAGCCTTCGGCTGCACAGAGCCCTCGGCTGCGTGGAATGCCTTCGGCTAACAGGCTCAATCATCGAAGATTCCCTTTGGAGACAGCCAACCACCGCAATTAATACGGTGTCACGTCCACTCACCGCATTTTATGCGGTGCACATGCGAGTGCCAGCGCCACCCCCGATTGAGGTGACCCATCAACCGTTAGATTATTGACACGTGTGCTCCCATCACATTTATTGCTGCTATAAATAGCAGCCCTTGCTCCTCTTGTAAAAGCAGAACATCTCAAGTTCATTAATAGAATCGTCTCTCTCTCCTATTTGTTTGCTCTGACTTCTCTCTAGGTTATTCTCATAGTAACCCCCAGGATAAGTTACCCCCGGGTACACTATCCATCAGATATAGACTTGAATTGTAATATCAATGCATATTTCAAAAGTATCATATTACATTAGACTCTCATATTGAAATTAATAGGAGTGTATTATAAATATAATTTAATAAGCTTTTATAAAAGAAAAAAGAAAAAAAAAGAAAAAGGAATTAGAAGATATGAAGCAGGGATCGTGATACTCATTGTTAGTCTCATAAATACTCAATAAAATAGGTCTGATGCTCATTAAAGGTACAATATTGCTCATTTAGCGGAAGTCATGTTTTTTTGTTTAAATTACAAAAATGACACCAATTTTTTTTTGCCTTATTTAGTACTCCCGTCTTTTAGGGCCGGATGTAATTTTCTCCACTGCCCTACGTACATACGGATGTACTCGTATAATATACCAACTGCCCTACGTCGCTGTACATCATCCTTAATGAACTCTGTGGGTTTCCTTGCTGCACGCCGTCTACTTCAATTGGAAAGGTACGAACATGGAATCGAGCAAATAATAGGTAAACTCACAAATTCATAGCTCTGTTTTGTAATTCATTATTTTTTGTTTTAGTGGATTTTGAACAAACACGGTTCTATATAGTTCATTAGTGGAGAGCAGATTTTTTGGATGGATTCACAATTAATTTTTATTTGATGTTCTAATTCACTTGCTGCAATTAAACGTGCAAACTGAAAGTAGCGTGAATAGGAATTTTTTGCCTGATCATCCCTTGCAAAGCTGCTTTTTTTTTTTTAATTTCAGTTTTAGACTTTTACTATTATGGTTGCTACTTTTTGTTTATTATTTTCGTGTGTATATATATATATATCTATCTATATATATATATATATATATATATGATAATATTACGTAATCAGCAAATTTAAAAGTAGCAACCAAGCAAGAACTTTTCCAGCCACCAAACATCAATATATATATTCAAATTCCAGCAATATTTAGTAAAACGACTCTGTATACATTAATAAGATATATAATGAGGATGGTTCATTTTTTGGAGCTGACTTACGACCTAGTGAAGCATGGACTACATTTAGAGAAGATTTAGCAACTGAAATGTATACTTCTTGGATGAATTGAAGACGAGTATAAAACTTGAAGTCCATTCGAAGTACAATTTGTAGCTCATTTTGAAGTGCAAACGTGTATATTTTGTACTATTTTGTTACAACAATTTTGGGAATTCAAACCACAATATGTCTGTTAGTATCTTCTAGTTGATAGATAAAATTTATTTGTAGAATTGCATATGCGTTTGCAGGTTACAGTCTAACAAGTCATTATTTTTATCAATAGCAGACCTGAGAAGAAAAAACAACATCCTGTTTTATTCTATCTATTATCCATGTCATGATAACAAAACCTAGACAAATTTCAATACTAATTTGAAGGGTGTGCTTAGTACAATATCAAATGCTAAACATATTGGTAAGAACCAAGGTCCAAAAGTGTGCTTAGTACAATATCAAGTGTTTCCCACAAAAAAGTACATGACAAACGATTCTTAAGCTTATGAACACAAACTTGTTCAGCAAAACATATTGTTAAAAACAAGGTCCAAAAGTACTTAAGTGTGCATAGTAGAATCTGAAGTGCTTCCCACAAAAAAATGACAAATCACATTTCATTCATCCATCAAATACCACTGGCACCAATCCATCTTCTCTGCATCAGGTAGCCCATAAAAGAACAACAACTCGCTCTGATTTTTTCCCATTTTTTTCATCAGCTTATATTTCATGCCTGTAGTCATACCTTCGAGCTGATCTAGTGCAACTGGGAGATGAGATGTTTTATCTGCTATGTCTGTCTCTACTCTTGACATCTCCAGGCCTGCTTTTTCTAATCGGATAGAAGCTGCCTCCATACAAGCTGAAAATATATTAATGCTTGGCCCAGAGTTAAGCTTCTTCTTACAATGACTTGTTTGTGTTGTGTTATTATCAGACATTCCTTTCCTCTTTGATGAGTTTCGTTTGTCAACACCAGAAATTGTGGAATCATCTATACCTTTTGTGGCGATTTGAACACTCGAATCAAACCCCTTATCTCCAATCATATCTTCGCACTCCATCCCAGTAAGCCCAGTAGCTCGATCTACAGAGTATATGGTGCAGAAGTCCTCATAATACCATAAGTTTTTTCTTCTTATATTGGCAGCTTTAGGGTTGGCCTGAAATATATGAAAACGTTATATAACTCAGTACTTCATATATCATTACTTTTCTATGTATAGATAGATAAGATAAAAAACGATAAAGGGGCCGTTACCATTTTTGTGAAAGTTATGAGAAAAAAGAATAAATAATAAATGAAAATCTTACGTTCACAAGAGAGTCCCATACATCATTAGGGGCCGTTACCATTTTTGTGACAGAATCCCATCCAAATCCACTTAATGATGCACTACGATCGTTCAACAAATCATAATACTCTTGCCAAACTTGTTTTAGCGTTCTTATGTGAGATTCAAGGTGTGGTTTAGCTTCTATATGAGAATGGGGCAACTTACCGGACATCATCTTTGCTAGCTCACTTAAATATCCGGCTTCAAAGCCCCCCTTTTTCCCGTTATGGGTACCACGATTATGCAATTCAATCATACATGCCACAAGAGTTTGGTCTTCTTGCATTGTCCATTTCCTTCTGGTAGTTTTTTCAGTTGCCATCTAAAACAAAAGAACAAGAAAAAAATTAAATAAAACAAACTGAAATAATACATGAAAAAATTCTGGCATGCTCTACCAGACACCCAGCCAATCTATTTTATGAAGTTTTCATTTTTCTCTCTAATATTTTTTAAAAAGAGTGGAATGACGAGAGGCTTTGTGCTCAACCGGACAACCAACCATCTTCTCAAGTTAACTTTCTTTTTATTTGGGATAAAAAGACATCTAGGTGAGGTTGAAGATTCAAACTACTACATTGAGAAGGATAATTCGGATAAAATAATTACATATTCAAGTCTAAGAAGCATAAAAAAAAGATATATACAGTGGTTTATCCTAGTGAAGTAACAGCAGGCACCAGCTCACTTCTTGTGTACAAGCAAAGTATAAACAACCATGGGTTTTCAATTACAAATATTGGGTAGTCCCCCAACTCTCTTCTTCTTTAGCCAAGCCCCCCCCCCCCCCCCCCCATCAATATTTCTTCTTCTTCAACCCAGCTCACCCCACCCTTCTCTTTCCGTTCTTCTTCAGCTTGCCCCACCCCCGCCACCCCTTGATTTGTTAATCCCATTTCGATTCTGTTCTAGAAGTTTTTAGAAGAGCCTATATAAGAATCAATAGTATTACATCGGTGCAATTCTGGTACGTCGTCAGTTAATCATTAAGAAAATAAATATTTTAACTATTAATTTCTTCCATCGTTAAATCCCTAACGCATAAAAATATAATATTAGATTAATAAATATATAATCGTAAATAGGTATACAAAATTCTACAAGATAAAAATGAAAAGAAAACAATTATTAAGAAGAGAAGCTCGATTTCACCTATGTTTGTACCACATGTAGCAATGAGTGTATCGCTTGTGTAACGATTAATGTTCTTACACATTAATAAAGAGACCAAAACTCTTGAGCATTCTTGAAACTTTGAGTTTTCTTTTTAATAGAAATAAATTTGGATTCTTATGCTTCATTTATTCTTGTAGAACTCTGTGTTGCTATATGAATTACATTTGTTTTATTTATTTATTTAATTAATTTTTTCTTATCACACTCTGTATTATACAGAGGAATTTACTCACGGTAAGACTAAAACGTAACAGTTTTCTTAAAGTATGATCATATGTTTGATTTTCCTTAAATAGGACTAAATATTACATATTCACCTCTAATTTAATTAATTAATTAATATAATTAATTGTACTTCGTTCCCTTGCATAACCAAAACTATTTTGTTGGTGGCGGATCAATCCGATAACGACGGTGGGGAACTCCAGTGATGGAGGCGGGCAAGCAGATCGATAGCGGCGGTCTAGGTGAAAATTCCGACGACCGGCAGTGGCAGTCCCCATTTAAAAGTCTATGGACTTTTTGAAAGTCAATAAACTTATCCATGAATTTAAAAGTTTATAGAATTCATTCATAAAAAAGCCTATGGATTTAAAAGTCCATTGACTTTTTTAAAAGTTCATTGACTTTTTTAAAAGTCCATGGATTAAAAAAAGTTCACCACAATCCATATTCAATACACCCTATGACCCTACTTAGTACAAAGTAGTATAGTGAGGGCTCATGCTGGAAAAAAAGTTATACACGTTATTACAGATGCTTTTGTTTCAACTATTTTCAGTCTCAAACCAGACTAGATCAAGATTAGATCAAAACACAGCAAACCAAATCATATTAGACCATATCAAACCAAACCAGACTAGATCAGAACAGATTTGGGCAATTAGAAAGTACACAACAACAACATCCAAGCCTTAGTCCCAAAAGATATTGGGGTCGGCTAACATGAATCCATACATGATATCACAACCAAAAGGAAAAGAAAGAATAAAGATAAAAAGATAAGCTATTATGAAAAGATAATATAAAAAAGATGAATATATATATATATATAAATGATAAAATAAAAAGGTTGCAAATAATGCTTATAAATATATATATATATATATATATATATAAGGATAAAAAAAACTAGGAAAAAAAAGATGAGGGAAAAAGATTATCAAGATCACTCCTTCACGTGAATACCCGCCCTCCACTTAGTTCTCTCCAAAGTCATGCCCTCATCCAACCCCAGAAAAAGCATATCACTTCGAACTCCCCTAACCCACGTCTGTTTGGGTCTTCCTCTCCCTCTCTTCCCTGCCTCTTGTCCACACATCCCAACTCGCCTAACAGGTGCATCACTCGGTCTTCTACGCACATGACCAAACCACCGTAGGCGCGACTCCCGCATCTTGTCTTCAATAGGTGCTACTCCCACCCTTTGTCTGATTGTCTCATTCCTCACGCGGTCCTTCCTAGTATGCCCACACATCCAACGCAGCATGCGCATCTCTGTCACACTCATCTTATGAATGTGACATTGTTTCACCGCCCAACACTCTACGCCATACAGTAATGCAGGCCTAATTGCTGTCCTATAAAATTTACCCTTCAGTCTAGTCGGCATACCTCGGTCACATAGAAATCCTGACGCACTCTTCCACTTCATCCACCATGTTCTGATTCTATGGGATACATCTCCATCTAACTCACCGTCCTTCTGAATTATGGAGCCCAAGTAACGGAACATATCGCTGACCGGTATCTCCTTACCATCCAGAGTAATTCCGCTATTACCACTACTTCTACCTCCACCAAACTTGCACTCCATGTACTCTGTCTTGCTCCGACTTAGTTTGAAACCTTTATTCTCCAATGTTTGTCGCCATACTTCCAACTTTGCTTTAAGACCTGATTGCGTCTCATCAATCAATACAATATCGTCGGCAAACATCATGCACCACGGTATATCGTCTTGAATTGACTTCGTAAGTTCATCCATGACTATGGCAAATAAGAAAGGACTCAAGGACGATCCTTGGTGCACTCCGATAGTAATAGGGAACTCTTCAGTCCTCCCTACACTAGTACGAACACTTGTAGTACAATCCTCATACATATCCATGATGATGCTGATATACTTGCGTGATATGCCTTTCCTAGTTAAGGCCCACCAAAGAACTTCTCGAGGTACCCTATCATATGCCTTTTCTAAGTCAATGAACACCAAATGCAGATCCTTATGAGCATCTCTATACTTCTCCATAAGTTGTCGAAGAAGGTGAATGGCCTCAGTTGTTGAGCGACCAGGCATAAAACCGAATTGATTTTCTGAAATCTTCACAGTCCTTCGAAGTCTTTGCTCAATCACTCGCTCCCAAAGTTTCATGGTGTGACTCATAAGCTTAATCCCTCGATAGTTGGCACATTCTTGTACATCACCTTTATTCTTAAATAAGGGGATAAGAGTACTCTTCCTCCAACTCGTTGGCATCTTGTTGTTTCTCCAAATCATGTTGAAGAAACTTGTTAACCACTCGACGCCTCTCTCTCCCAAACTTCTCCAAGCCTCGATCGGTATGCCATCTGGCCCCATTGCTCTTTTCCGTCCCATCTTCCTCAGAGCTTCTTTAACTTCCGTTGTTTGGATCCTTCTCACAAAATCACGGTTTACCATACAATCTGGTATGGACAAATCGCCGATATCTTGCGTTTTGTTCCCGTTGAATAGTGTATCAAAGTATGACCTCCACCTTTCTTTTATCTCTCCGTCGTCCATTAATATCCTCTGATCAACACCCTTCACACACTTAACTTTTGCAATATCTTGAGTTCTGCGATCACGAAGACGAGCAAGTCTATAAATATCTAGTTCTCCTTCCTTAGAGTCCAACTTTTCATACAACTCCTTGTTCACTTTCCCTCGTGCTTCCCTTACGGCTTTCTTTGCTTGTCTTTTAGCCTCCCTGTATGCTTCTATGTTCTCATCACTCCAATTTGTCCCCAACTTTTTGTAGCAATCTCTTTTGTTCCTTATGGATTGTTTCACCTCATCATTCCACCAAGATGTGTCCTTTTTAGGTGGCCGACATCCTTTAGATTCTCCAAGTACCTCCTTTGCCACTTTGTTAATGGTCAACTCCATTGATAACCACACATCATCCACATGTGTTTCATTATCAATACGCCATACATCTTCACCGACCATTTTGTGTGTAAAGCTTTGTTGAAGATCTCCCTCAAGCCTCCACCACTTTATCTTTGGCTCCACTTGTTGTTTAACTTGTCTTCTATGGTTCTTACCTCGAAAGTCAAGCACAAGCATCCTATGCTGAGTGACAACACTCTCACCTGGAATAACCTTACAATCAGTGTAGCTAGTTCTCCAAGTGGTCCGTACTAAGAAGTAGTCAATTTGGGTACTATTAGCTCCACTTTTATAGGTTACAAGGTGAGAGTCTCTTTTCTTAAACCAAGTGTTCATTATAGCCAACTCATACGTCAAGGCAAAATCCAAAATGTTCTTTCCCGCCTCATTCCTAGTGCCAAAACCATGTCCGCCATGAATATTCTCAAAGCCATCACGACTCGAGCCCACATGCCCGTTGAGGTCACCTCCTATGATCAACTTCTCTCCCCTTGGCACTCGTCGCACCACGTCCTCAAGATCTTCCCAGAACTGTTGAGTTGTAGATGCATCCAATCCCACTTGTGGTGCATAGGCACTTACCACAGACACAATCTCACCTCTTATCACCAATTTAATGCTCATTATGCGATCGTTTTTCCTGAAGACTTCTACCACATCCTCAACATAGTCACGCGCCACAATAATGCCTACCCCATTTCTAGTCTTATCTCTCCCCGAATACCACAACTTAAAACCTCCGGGATTAATCTCACGTGCTTTCTCACCAACCCATTTAGTTTCTTGCACACACATAATGCTGATATTCCAATAATCCAATATGATGTATATAACATCATATTAATCCAACTACTTTAAAAAGTCACGTTTATCACAAATAAAGTCATGCTTCACCAAAATAAAGTCATGCTTCACCAAAATAAAGTCATAATTAACCAAAATATGGTCATGTTTGACAAAAACCGGGTCACTATTTGCTGATTCAGCATCTTCAGGACCCGTGGCTGAAGTTCCACCTTCCATGTCCTGTAACCTGTAAATACACAAGGCAAATATTATATATATATATATATATATATATATATATATATACTACCTCCGTTCTCTTTTAATTGCAACATTGGACTTTTTACACTATTCACATATTCTACTTTGACTATATTTTATTAATTAATGTATTATAAATTAAAGTTTTAAAAAATATTGTTAAATTCACCTCATTATAAATTTTCAAAATATGAATTCATAAAATTTTTTACTAATAGGGAATGAAAGATATTAATGGTCAAACTAGTGTGTTGGCAAACGTGAAATGTTGACTGTTGCAATTAAAAAGGAACGGAGGAAGTATATATTATACAGTACACTTTCATGAAACTATTCAATATTTCAGTGAATAGGTTAAATGAAGTGCACATGAATGAAAATATTAAATAATTAAAAGAAACAAACTTATACATGATAGAGTGGTAGTACACACACACACACATATGTATGAGTTCTATAGAGTATATAACAAGAAGTAGATGCTGAAAAAATAAAGAAAATGGGCTGATAGCATGCAAATAAATGTTTGAGTTCTATAGAGTATAGACTATATAACATGAAGGAGTGCTGAAAAAATAAAGAAGAAAGAAAATGGCACAAATCACAATGAAGAGTGTTGCACGTGATAGGCCATTATACTGGTTGGTAGTTTGCATATATATGTTTAAGTTGTATAGAGTATATAAGATGTTGATGCTGAAAAAAGAAAAAAGAAATAAAATGGAACGATGGAGGAGAATAAAGCCTACTGTGATTGATCGTTGAGTGCTGCACTGCTGCCAGCTTCTGCGGTTGATGTGGAGGACATAAGGAGGTCGCCAAGGGACAACTTGAGTAGAGCAGAGCAGGTTTCCGTTTTTTTTTAAGGAAGGACCTTATTTTTGTTTCCTTTGTGACGTTTGTGTTAATTAATTAGCTTAGGTTTAAGTTGTTTTGACCTTATTAGATGGGCTTTATTTAAAATATGGGCTTCTTATTTGACTGCACATCTGAAAGTATATCATTAAACTAAAAATAAATTTATTCCCCGAATAGCGATCGCCTTTCATCGCTTCTGCGCTTTGTGCGCCCAACCTGCGCTTGAGAGGGGATGGTGCGACTGGGATTGTGTAGGGCGCTGGAGGCCTCTGGCGCTGCGCCTGGTGAGCTTAAGCGCTCAGGCGCACGACTTTGACAACCTTGGTGAGAACAATTATGAATTTGTGATTTATTTTTGGATTTGAGTTGGATGAAAACTCCTTTTCTTGTAAAATATTTGTAATATTATTTTTTATTTAATTTTTCAGTGCATTTGAATTTAATTGATACGCATACGACCCCCTCCTACTGGACAGAAATGCTAGATCCTCCCCTGTGTATATATATTAGAGGTTATTGTAGCTTACTATTACTACTATTACCATTACTACTGCTACTGTTACTATTACAGTATTATTAATGTCCTTATGTTGATCAAAGTGCATGACATATGATTCTATGAGTAAGCATCACCTCCAGTAATGTCTCCTTTGTTTCCAGATATTATTTGTAAAAGATTATGTCTTTGCGTAGGCCACCCCTTCCACGGCTTCTCCTTAACAATGTAGGTTGCATGAGAAATGCACAACAAATTCTTCGTCATGTTAATGTTACGCTCCATGATGGTGGGGCTCTTGTATTGACGGGCACAAATGGTTCTGGAAAAACCACCTTTCTGCGCATGTTAGCCGGTTTCGCAAAACCATCTGCTGGTGAGATACTATGGAATGGTCATGACATCACCAGTTCGGGTGTCTTTGAGCAATACAAACTTCAGCTCAACTGGCTTTCCCTGAAGGTGTGCTTTGATCTCTGAAAATGATAACGAAAAGAAAAAACTAAGTAGATTGGTTGGGTTATATTTTATGATGGTTTAACCTAGTAGGAAAATGCAAGGAAAACTGATAACCGGTTTGATAGCAAAAATTTGTTATTCCGCTTGTCAACAGGATAAGTGGGCATTTGACTTATTTATCCGCATTACCAAATAGGATCTGAAGACTGAATATGAGTATCAATGAATTCTAAAATAATACAGTATATTTTTAGCCTATAATTTCACCCCCCCCCCCCCCCCCCCCTCCCACAATTTTCTTTCCTTCCAATTTTCGTCCATTCTAATTTCTTTCCTTCCGGTTTCCAATGACCCTCAAGGATGCTGTGAAGGAGAAGTTCACGGTCCTAGACAATGTTCAGTGGTTTGAAGTGCTTGAAGGGAAGCAGGGAAAGTCTTTGCCGGCTTTAGAAACTGTGGGGTTGGGGAGATTGGCAAATGAGAAGTCAAGAATGCTCTCCATGGGTCAAAGGAAAAGGTTACAGCTTGCTAGGTTGTTGGCAATTGATAGGCCAATTTGGTTGCTTGATGAGCCTTCGGTAGCATTGGATGATGATGGTGTGAAGATACTGGAGTCCATCATAGCCGATCACAGAAAGAAGGGCGGGATTGTCATTGTAGCCACACATCTACCCATTAAGATTGAGGACGCTATGCATTTGAGGTTGCCTCCCAGGTTCCCGCGAAGAATGACATTGGTTGACATGCTCGATCGTGGTGGATTGGACTGATTCTACTCTTGTAGCTGTGGGAGCTGTTATGGAAAGGAAGCTATGCAACTTATGTTTGAGATGCCAGACTGACTATATTCCACATTGAAGGCTATGAAAACCTTGGTTTTTTCCATTTTTTATTGCACAGCATAAAGTGGTAAGAAAATTGCTTCCAGGAAGTCGGTGATGACTTGAGGGGTAGTAGTTAGATATTTTTGTGGGTGAGTCCGTGTATGGGGAGGAAAAACTATTTTTTGTTCGAAAGTATTCTAATATTTTATCATAAATGTAGTACTTTTATGGTCTCTCCGAACTCGTGCATATGAATGTATTTATGTACTATCATTGGTAAGCCAATCTCAGTATTGATCTCTAATTTTATCAATTGAGCTTGTAGAACCCGTTTGGTTACTTTGTTTCTGGCTTATCAGGCTTATCAGCTAACCTTTTAACTAAACATGTAATATTTGATTTCGGGCGTTGAATTGTGTAATAATTCGAAAAAGTAATGTTCTGGCTGTATTCACTGAAGTTACTATAGATGATCATTTTGACTATTTTTCATATAATTTTTTCGTTATTTTATTAATAAAGTATATTTTAAGTAATTTTTTTCATAAATTAGCAGAATCATTCAATACAGCCATTTCAGTCAGAATTTCAGAAATTTTAGAAGAATTAGTCAATTCAACGGATTTTGGTGTTACCAGTTTGTAGTTACGTAAATTGTAATATCAACTCCAATCAAATCATGTAATCTTTATTATCTTAGGATTGGTTGAGATGGAGTACTTTTTACTTTTTGAAACTACACTTATTGTAGTTTCTACTAGATTCTCACCCGTGCGATGCACAGATTAAAATTTACCAATATGTGATTAAGAAGTCTATTATAAAAATGTAAAAGTAATTGAGCTCAGAATAAATTGGTAAGTAATATAATAAGTATTCGTAGTTAAAGAGATATTAAAACATTTTCGAATAAAGGAAAATGTAAATATTACTCCAGAGCATGTGTCCAGAAAATGTAGTATAAAAGAGTTATAACATTTGAAAGTACAAAGTAGTAAGTAAAATAATAAGTGTTCAAAGTGAAACTACAAATTCTGATAGACTTTTTTGTAAACAACATTAGTAGTATGATCGATCTATTGATCATCCTCATCACAGATCGATATTTTCAACCATTTGGGATTGATAATCACACGTAACAGAGCATGTGTCGATTCAATATCACAGTGAAACTACAAATTCTGATAGACTTCTTTGTAAACAACATTAGTAGCATGTGTCGATTGATAACCGCACAAACTCATTTTTTCTTAATAATCGCATCATCTCCTCATGTTTCAATGTTAGTGTCACGGGGGAAGTGATAATAATTATTTATATAATAAATAAAACCAATAATATAAATTTAACCACCATATGTAAATAATACTTTACGTATAGTTTTGTACTCCGTATATATTTATAATTGTATTGTAAATGTAATACCATAATTTTTATTTCAATATTTTAGGTTTTACTTCATATAAAATACTGACAACTTATTATTTAAAACACCCTTAAATTAAAATACTTTTTATGTCAATTTTAATTGATCCAGCCCAAGTATTAAAAGCGTGCTGAAGTACCCATTATTTATTCTTACCCACTAAGTCTAACCTAGCAAACCATCATATGAGCTTCCTTACCCACTAATTCTCATTTTTCAAAGGCCAGAGGGTTATTTTTAAATGGCATAATCTATTCCAAAATTCAAATGACCCAATTCAGTGAAGTCAAAATACCCACATCTTAATAAATTAGAGTTTTAATCAGCCCAGCCGAAAAATATACATTAGATCCATCCAGCCCAACAACTCAAACCTAACACACCATATATAAACTCCGCTTCCCCCTTCGTCCAGTTTATCCGTACATCTATCCAAACTCCGCTTCCCCCTTCGAACTCCTCGTTATCCGTACATCTATCCAGCCTTCCTCTTTTTTCATCTCATTTCTTTGTTAAGCCTTTGTTCCTTTGGATGGACCATGCGTCAATTAGATGTTAAAAATGCGTTTCTTCATGGAAATCTGACAGAGGAAGTTTATATGCGTCAACCACATGGTTTTGTCCATCCTCAGTTTCCTAATTATGTGTGTCGCCTGCGCAAGGCCATTTATGGTCTAAAACCGGCTCCTCGGGCCTGGTTTTACAGGTTTAGTAGCTTTCTTCTCACTCATGGCTTCTTATGTAGCAAATCTGATAATTCTTTATTTATTTATTGCCATGGGTCATCTATTCTTTATCTTCTTCTATATGTAGATGATATTATTATTTCTAGTAATTCCCCTTCCTTTATTTCGTCTTTTATTTCTTGTCTTGGTCGCTATTTTGCTATGAAGGATTTAGGGGACTTACATTTTTTCCTGGGTGTTCAAGCTGTGCGTCATTCTAAAGGTCTCTTTTTATCACAGCAAAAATATGTGTCTGATTTCTTACAGAGGTTCCATCTCCATACCCTTAAACTAGTTCGCACCCCTCTTCCTTCAAGAACTAAGTTATCTCTCACTGATGGTGAAATTCTTGCCGATCCTACGGAGTAAAGAAGTATGGTAGGTGCCTTATAGTATTTGACCATGACTCGACCTGACATTACTTTTGCTGTTCACCTCATTTCCCAGTTTATGCATGCACCTCGTACTTCACATATTTTGGTTGTTAAGCGCATTTTCAGGTATCTCCAAGGAACTACAGATCACGGCCTACTGCTTCAGCCAGATCGGTCCTCTCCTACTATTCAGGCTTATTCTGATGCTGTTTGGGCTGGATGTCCTGGCTCTAGCCGATCCACGTCTGGTTTTGCTATTTCCTTGGGTCCTAACTTAATCTCCTGGAAGTCCAAGAAGCAGCCAACTATTTCCCGTTCATCTACTGAAGCTGAATACAGGGCTATTGCTTACACAGTTCAGGATACGCTACACATCAGGTCCATTCTGTTTGAGTTAGGAGTACCCATTCACACGCCAGTACGGTTGATGTGTGATAATGTCTCGGCCTCTTATTTATCTACTAATCCTATTCAGCATGCACGCCACAAACACATCATCATTGATTATCATTTTGTTCGAGAACGCGTTTCGCATGGAGATTTGATCGTTTGTCATGTTCCTACACAGTTTTAGCTTGCTGATATATTCACCAAGTGTCTTTCTCCACAGCGGTTTATTTTTCTTAGAGACAATCTGCGCGTTGTTTCCCCTGCACAGATTGAGGGGGTGTAATAGAGTAATTATTATTTACTAGTTTCCATGTATTAGGATTCCTATTGTATTAAGTTTCCTAATGTGTTCTGAACACTTCTTCATATATATACACACCCAAGGCTATCATATTTGGTACGCCATTCCATTATTCTCACAATATCATCGTCGATTATTGACCCGTAATCGTTGATGGAGTATATGGCCCGGGAACCCCCGGCCCACAGACTCCTACTACTCCAATAAAGGCCCAACGGACCCAGAGAGCACAACAGGCCCAAATCACAGCGTCCAGGGTACCAAGCAGCCCACAATGCGCACCAGGGGTGCCTTCGGTTCCCTGGCCGAAGCCTCTGACTCTCACAAGAGGGCCAAGACAGGAAGACAAAGTTGCTGGGAAAACGGCGAAAATCAGTAGCCCTCGGCAGTGGGAGCCCTCGGCACTAAGGGGGTCCCCGGTACTCAGAGCCCTCGGCTAGTCCTCTACAGCCGAGGGCACCTTTCCCGACATGATACCCGCGCCACATGCGTACAGATCATCGTACCCTGTACAACGTCCCGTCCAACAGCCGCATTAAATGCGGCCACATGCGGTTGCCAACGCCAACCAGTTGAGGTGACCTCTCGGCCAATGGACGCTTGACACGTGTCCCTGTCCGGCATTTATTGCTACTATAAATAGCACCCCCTTTTCCCATTTGTAACCAAGTCATAAACGCTGCATACTTTCTAAATACACTTTCTCTCTCTATACTTAATTGCTCTGACTTCTCTCTTGTCATTTCCCGCAATAACCACCCGGATAAGCTACCCCCCGGGTACACTATCCATCATTTGGCGCTCTCGTTGAGAGCCGAACAATCAAATAAGAAACCCTCCCCCTCGACCAAACACAAAAACACCCATCCAAAATGGTGAGAACAACTCGTGCCAACTCCAAGAATGTAGAGGACAGGAACCTGGCCCTCGGCGAGGTCGACGTCCCCGAAGCCTCCAACAGGGCTCCCGGGGGCGGCGTCATCGCCGGGATGGACCAGACGGCTGTCGAACTACGCCAGCAGATTCAGCAAAATGCCCCCGATGCCCGCCTCGGCATCGAGGCCAAGAAAAAGGACCGGAGCGAAAATCAAATTAGCCCCCCGGTCATCACCATCGACGTTCAGTCGGCGCTCTCCGCCTTCATCCAGACGCTCACTCAGAACCCGGGTGCCTTCGGCACTTTGGTTCCCCACCAGCCTCAGGTTGGGGAGAATATTCTGCCTCCCCCTCATCCACGACCCCTCGGTAACCCGGTCCTCCGGATGGGGAACTCCGAGGGGGTCGTGGCCCAAGATACGGCCTCCCAGGAAGTCCAGTCCCGGGACCGCCACGACGTGAACAAGGAGCACCCCCGGACCTCCGCCCTCGAGAGGCTCGGAGGGGCGCAAGACCGCCGAGGGGTCCAAGACCGCCTCGGGGGGAAGGCGTTCCAAAGGCCTCAGGAAAGTGGCGGGTCCGTTTCCAGGGCCAATGAGAGACGTCCCCCTCAGGACAAGGGCAAGGCACCTCTCCATGCCGACGACGCACGCCATCAAATCAATCAAGCCCACTCGGACCGGGTCAATTCGCAGGGGGCGGAGGCCCACCAGAAGGACCCCCGGGACGAAATCATCGCGGCCCTCCAGCGCCGGCATGACGAGATGGAGGCCACCAAAGCCCACGCCACCACTTCTGCCCCTCATACAGACCTCAAGTATGAGGCGATGATGGCCAAGATGGAAGAAATGCAGAGGAAGATAGCCGAGGGCTCCGGGGAACCCACCATACAGCTCCGGACCCGGACGCCATTTACCCCAAGGGTATTGGCGGCCCGGATCCCGGAGAAATACCGAGGGCAGCTCATTAAGCCCTATGATGGAAAGACTGACCCCCAAGAACACTACAGCAGATATCAAAACAGCATGATGATGGTGGGGGCATCAGATGAATATTTGTGTCATTGGTTCCTCTCCACCCTAGAGGGGCCAGCTTACGAGTGGTTCAATCGATTGCCCGAGGGCTGCATTGACTCATGGCAAGAGCTCGCCCAGCGATTCTTGACGCAATTTGCGGGGAGGCGCCGCACAAGAAAACACTTCTCCCACTTACTAACGGTGAGGCAGAAGGAGGAAGAGACCCTTCGGGACTTCCTGGAGCGCTGGAGGACGGAGGCTGATAA